TCAGGGCACATGCCCATGTTGTGGGGTTGTCAATCCCCAGTCAGGGTGCATACAGGCGGCAACTGATTGATGTTTTTCTGTCACATCGATGTTTCTCTCCCTAGCCATCCTCTCTCTCTAAAAATCAATTTAAAAAAAAAGCATATCCTTGGGTGAGGATTTTTAAAAGAAGGAAGCTAGAAAGGAATAAGGTTGAGTCAGGCACATATTGAAGTATTTCCTTAGCTAACATTTTAAAATATCCCTTGGTCATGTGGGAGCTAGTTCTTAACTACCTAGACCAGGAATACAAATTCCTATAGAAAATCTGCCTTTTCAAAATAAGATAGATTTACAAAAATTGTCTCACCTCTTTCTCTCCATCATTGCTTGCTTTTTCTATTTTTCTCTCCAATTCCCATCCCCTAACTCTCCCAGGTTCTTATTGCCAACAATGGCATTGCAGCAGTGAAATGCATGCGGTCTATCCGTCGGTGGTCCTACGAGATGTTTCGAAATGAACGTGCAATCCGATTTGTTGTCATGGTCACACCTGAAGACCTTAAAGCCAATGCAGGTGAGTTATTTGCATTAAGAAAGCATCACTCTAGAGCAGCCGTGGGCAAGGATCCGGCCCTTTTGAAATGAATAAAACTAAAAAAAAAAGACCGTACCCTTATTAGTGTAGATGTTTACTTTGAATTTATATTAGTTCACACAAACACTCCATCCATGCTTTTGTTCCGGCCCTCCGGTCCAGTTTAAGAACCCATTGTGGCCCTCGAGTCAAAAAGTTTGCCCACCCCTTCACTAGCCACATATGGTTAGTGAGCACTTGAAATGTGCCTAGTGCAACTGAAGAACTGAATTTTTTATTTTGAAATTTGTCTAGGAAGATATCATCACAGTGAGGTTCTAAGTATGGTTCCTTTTCTTCTTAGATTAAGATGATTAAATCTTATCAAAATTAAGCCTGCACAAACAAAAGTAAACTTCACTTCACTGACTTTACTTCATTATCTCTCCAAAAATTCTATTTATCCTTTATATTAAGCAATTCTACATATATGCTTGTGGTTGCTAGTATTACTCTTCAATCCTTCCTCTTTGGCATATGGGATATCATAGTGGAGAAATATAAAAAGCCATGGTATAAATTGTCCTAATCATTCTGGAGTTTTCAATATACCCTGTATTATTGAGCACTGAGTACAAAGGTCTTAGAGTAGTAGGCATGCAAGAAATGCTTTTGACAACAAATATCTGAGAAATAACACCTGAAAAAAAAAATACCACACATTTAAGTTAAAAAAAACGAAATTGAGGCATACTCTTTACTGACAACCACTGAAAAGTCAGGGGGAAAATGAGAAATGTCTTCTTAATATGAAGAGATTCTGTGAATCTGATGATAAAAATTATGACACAGAATTCCTATTATAAGAGATCCTATTTGAATGTTTCGCAACAAACCCTCTAGAATGGTTACACTAACTATAAATAAAGGAAATAGCAGCAGTATGAAACCAACAAATTTTTATTGAGGCATGGGAGAGAAATGTACTTCATGTAAAATTAAAACATGCCTAGATTCTGTGAAGGCATTTCTAAAATTGAGAAGGAAATGAGTATACATAAAAATGCAGAGATTAAAAAAAATACAGAGATTTTAAGTGTTCAGTTTGATGACTTTTTAGAGAAAAATCTTCCCATGGTCATCTCTTTGTGGATTTATAAACTTCCATGCACAAGGTCAAGAAAAACTGTCCATACAATAATTGACTGCTATTACACAACCATTTCTCAGATGATGTACCTTAAAATATAAAATTTTTAGCTATAATTTTAATTTAAGTCAAGGGATAGAAATACTTGATATTCACCTGACCCTTTGGCAAGTGTGTCCATAAGCTGGAAAAGAACTTATGGCATGTTTTGGGATATCCTGATTCAGAGAACAAGAGAGAATGAAACATTTAATTTATCAGCTTCCCAGAACTGTTAAAATAAAGTTACCTAATACATTTTATATATGCAAACAGGTACCTTCAATTTCAAATTCAGCTTTGGCATAGAACTTTGAATAAAAGAAAAATTATTGTATTTTATGAAACATCAATGCATAAAAACTGCACAAAAGTAACAAAATAGAAAGGATATTGGGAAGAAATCAAGGCTATCGAAGAATAAACTAGGTCATTTGGGCTGGCTTTGGTTGCCAAGCAACTGGGATTTCTCACTGTTTCCCTTTAGAATAATCCTATCTTTAAGAGTCTTTTAAATTGTTTATTTCTTCTTCAAGACATACTAATATATTTAGGAATCACACTAATGAGAAAACTTACATAAAGGAAAATTAAAAGATCTACTCAAAGACAGGAAACAAAATATAATTTCCTCTTTAAAGGATCAGTGAGCAATAAAAATACGTTAATTATCTTTAAATTAATCTATAAAATAAATTCAATTCCAATTGTGTTTTTGGGGTAGAAGTTACCAAAGTAATTCTAATATATCTGGAGAAATAAAACATATTAAGTTAAATAACAAAAGTGAAACTGGTCACTGGTAGTAAAATAAAGACCAAAACCTAACCCTTACTCCCCACTCCAAAAATATTTAATAAAATAAAGATTTACATATTAAAATACAAACAACTAAAATGTAAAAGTAGGAGAATATAGGCAAATTTTTTTTAAAATTTTGCTTAGCTAGGTCTGTATGAGTATGGTATCAAAATCAGAAACTTTAATACAATCTTAAGAGATATGACTTGTACTAAAATATTTTTTTAAAATAAATTTTATTGATTTTTTACAGAGAGGAAGGGAGAGGGACAGATAGTTAGAAAAATCAATGAGAGAGAAACATTGATCAGCTGCCTCCTGCACACCCCCTACTGGGGATGTGCCCGCAACCAAGGTACATGCCCTTGTCCGGAATCAAACCCGGGACCCTTCAGTCCGCAGGCTGACGCTCTATCCACTGAGCCAAACCGGTCAGGGCTGTACTAAAATATTTTAAAAACTATATTATTAAAGCAGACAAAACTTACAAGAGACAGAGAGTAAAATGGTGGTTGCCAGGGACTAAGGGGAGAGGAAAATGGAAGTTAGTGTTTAATGTGCAGAGTTTCAGTTTGGGAAGATGAATATGTTCTGGAGATGGATGTTGGTGATGGGTTGCAGGATGTGAATGTACTTAATATCCACTGAACTGCATACTTTAAAATGGTTAAAATTGTAAATTTTATATTATATACATTTTACCGCAATTTTTTAAATGGGGGTTTTGGAAACCCACATTAACAGAAATTGCTATAAATACTTTATGAGTAATCAAATAAAAATCAGTAAACAATAAGATATAATATCTCATCTATCAGGGTCGGGAGAGGAGGCAACGGTCACCAGGCCGGGTACAGAGGAACAGATGCTAAATGTCGACACTGCCATCATTGGAGCCCTGCCATCGCGTGGTTCCCCACCTGCCCCCCTCCTCCTTCCCTTGCGCCACCTCGCTGCCATTGCAGAGGGTGGGCAGCGGGCCGATAGGGGCCTGCTGGCCTGGGGGAGGGACGGGGCATGGGAGGTCAGCTGCCGTGCACAAGGAGGGAGCCAGCCCTCGGCCCCCTGGGAAAGGGGCCGCGTCCACTGCCACGCACCCCTGGCTCCTCATCTAAGCCCAGGGCCCGGCCGGGGGAAGGGACCACGGGAGGTTGGCCAGATGGGGGAGGTTGGCTGTGGAAGCACACTGACCACCAGGAGGCAGCTCCTGTGTTGAGTGTCTGCCCCCTGATGGTCAGTGCGCGTCATAGTGACCCATCGTTCGGTCATAAAGGTCGCTTAGGCTTTTATAAATATATATAGATTAGTATCTCTTAGAACAAATTAAAGATTGTATAAGGAAATGTCCATTTTTAATAATATGGAAAACTAATTTAAATTCAACAGCTTACATTATAAATAACTTTCAACACAGAATCAAGAGCTGGAGGAGTTCTTTTGCCTAGAGCAAGAACATAGGGGCCAAACATTATGCACTTAACATAATAAAAAATCTTCAAATTACTATTTTAATTACTTAAAAATCAACCTGAAGAGACACAAAAGATTCAACATGAACTACACCAAAATAAAAACTGGAAAATAGCTAAGAAATGTTGATATTCTACATTGCACATTCATCTTGAAGTTATAAATCATTTACTAAACATATCTATACATATTCTTATTAACATCTTAAATTCAGTTACGTAACATCACAATAGAAACATCACTCAATTTCTCAATGCCTTTGTTATATATTCTGTAAAAGAAATGACTGACTTCTAAAATTCCTTTAGATCTGAGATTTTAAGAGATACATAACAATTTAATTTTTTTTCTCATGTAAACAGTTACATGAGAAAAGTAAATATCTGCCATTTTTAACACCATAACTTTAATCTTCAAACATGGCTTCACTTTCTTATGTTTAAGCTTTCGGGTAAGAAATTTACATACACAATCTTTACTAATAAATCATGCTAAGATGGATTAAAAAAAACACGTTTTTGTTTTTCCTCTGAAACAGAAAATTAACCTTAAGCTATTATACCATAGGTGCTTACAGCTATTTTTAAAAATGCCTTTAATACTTACAGCTTGATTAGGTAGATTGTCAGTCTTAAGTTCTCTGTGATTGGAATACTGAATAAAAATAGGCTGGCTTCGAAGGTGAGGAGTAACAGGAGTGTAATAATTCACCATAGTAATAGCAGCTTCCTCAGAAGCCATTTCTAAGAAAGCCTGCAATAAACACAAGAAGGTAAAGTGAAAACTCATGGTTTTTGAAAGACAGCTAAGAACTATTTTGTCATTCTAGGTTGCTCTAAACTCATGCATTGTCAACCTAAATAAAATTATATACATAGACAATAATACATCTGAATAAAGAAAGGCACACACCAAAATGTTAGCAAAATGTTCGTTAGTTATCTCTGGGTAACTAAATTGTTTTTGTTCTACACACAGACTAGGTATCCTGTGGTTACCAATCCATCTCTGCCCCTCACACACATGCAGCTCCACCTTGTACCCACTCAAGCCACTCACCACAAGGTAAGGACCAGATCAAAAAAAGAAAAGTAAATAAATAAATCATATATATCTGTATAAATATCTGTGCATATATATAGTAATTGTATATTTGTTCTCATGAAAGAAGGGGATGGAAAGATTTTTTGCTTCAATGTGATGAAGAGAATGAAAAGACTTTTCCTTCAATGTGTATTGCTGATATTAATTGGGAACATACTGGAAAAGCTGAGTTCAGTAAAGGATTTGGGATTGAGAAATTGATTCGATTATTTATTTAGTTTTTTATTTTTCTCTTATTTTTGTTTCTCCTAAATCTAGAAGTAATTAAAAAGGCAAAAGTAAATGTGTGGCCTGGCGAGTGTGGCTCAGTGGTTGAGCATTGGCCTCTGTACCAGGAGGTCATGGTTTGATTCCTGGTCAGGGCACATGCCCAGATTGGCTCACTCCCCAGTAGGGGGCGTGCAGGAGGCAGCTGATCAATGATTCATTCTCATCATGATGTTTCTACCTTTCTCTCCCTCTTCCTCTTTGAAATCAATAAATATACATATATTTTAAAAATGTGTGCATCACCACTATGAATGGATGCTTTCAGGAGTTGAGATTTAACAGTTCTTTGCTAAAACAGTCTCAGAGATGGGGCATGACCATCTGTTCTTCTTTACCCTTTATTAAACAGTTTATGAATACAATTAAATAGAGCATTCAGGAGCAGAGGCTCAACTATTCAAATTAGGGAAACAGAAGAACTTCCTATAATAAGTCAAATCATTCAAGCAAAATTTTTTTTATCTGTAATCATTGTACTACTAATAATATTTGCAGAGTAACATAGGATGAGTTAAGATGGAAGACAAACCTTGGTATTTATATCTTATTCTATATATGGCTTCTTCTGGCTATCAGGACTCCTGTAACTTATATGACAGGAATAGGATACTTATAAAGCTTTAAGGTGGCAGGTTTTGCCACCTATCTTAATGGTTCATTAGGAAGATAAAATATAGACATACACTAATCACTCTGAACCTTCAGAACCACCTTACGAACATCTTAAATTTAAAATGCATTTTAAATCAACGCAAATTTCTAGTTAGACAACTCAATTCATTTTTTACTACAATAAAGCATTTAGTTAGCAATTCAAATTATATATAAAACATTTATAATTTATAAAGTATGTACTTAACAAAATTTATTCAACACAGGAAATGGCACATACCTATAAATTTAACTTTCTTTGTTACTTACTTGGCAAGTGTTTCCATTTGGCAAATATTCTAGGCTATTAACTTAATTAATGTTAAATATGATGCTTAACTGAATTAATCAAATGTCACAACTGAATTGATTAAATGAACTAAAAACAATCTACTAAATAGTAATGCTAGCCAACAACAGTGGATCAAATACCATTAATTAATTAACTGATCCACAATAAACAAATAAAATTCCTCCCACTTCAAGAAATAGACTTTGAGTCATTTATACCATCTAAAAGGTATAAAAATCCACAATACACTTTAAATCCACTATCCAGTTGTATCAGTAATATACTTTTTCTAGTATTTGTAAAAAAGGATAAAAATGATCAAGGTAAAAATAGCTATGGCAGTATCTCCTACCTTGTTTGTAATCATCTTTTCAACAAAAAAAAAATTGTACAACTGTAGTATTTTAATAATATTCACTATATGAGGAGAGGGTCTTTTCCTACAAACTCTTTACTACATATTATGAATTAACTCAATGTTTAACATCAGTCACACAAAGGAAAAACTAAACAATGTATTTGGAATAGTACATGATTCTTGTCATAAGAAGTTTTTTCCTGAAAGCATATAAAACCTAAGAATTCATATTTAATGAATTGTCCAGTAAAGGTTTTATTTCTGTTTTTCTAAAGTATCCAGTCAAAAGGATCAATTTTCATAATGTGGGTGGAAAGAAAATCAAATTACTACCCACAGAAAGACTGGTGAAAATAATCCCCATTATGCCCTCAACACTCTACTTCCAAGTACCATGGGAAAGATTACGCCTAAAAGTAGTTCTAGTGACTCACATCTGAATCTCCTGCTAAAGTATATCACTGACAAGATATTTTTCAAATAGTATTTATAAACAAAAGACAAGCAATCAACATAAGTCAATTAGCACTACCGATAAATATAACCCCAGAACTAACAGTAGCGACAGAGGAAAGTATGATATTGCCTGTTGCCTCTCACAGCCATTTGACATAATGTATAGGATATACTACTGAAATATGATAATATACGTGATACATGGCTGTTACACATATCACAACCATTAGACATGGCCATGTTGGCTCTTTTCAAACCATGCAAACCTAGTATTCTCAACAAAGGCAACTGTGTTAAAATAAAGATCTAGGTACATGTACTATCTCCAAGAGATGGGAGATTAAGTATGTAGACACAACAAGGACTAACACCTTATTTAACTTCTACAGATCTTAATAATCTCGTCCGAATTAAACAGGGATGTTAGTTTATAGCTTACTAAAGGTCTGGGCATAATTCAGACATCATCATCCAGCCTCTAGCAAGTCTACTGCTAATCAAGCAACTTATTTATAAATACATTTAAAATGTGCTTCTTAAACTTATTCATGAGAAGTGTAAGAAACATAGGGACATATCCCAATGTACTACACAATGTCTAGGGCCTAGCTCAATTTGTTGTCCGCTTCTTTGCAACAATGCTCAGTGTAAAAGAGAACTAGGAGAGAACTAAAAAATTCATCCCAGTGAGGTCTGAGATGGAACAAGAAAGCATGCGATTATTCAATCAATATGACATGTACTATATTTTTGAAATGATCACCACAAAAGCATATTCATCTTAAGAAAAACCTATTAACTTCTGAAATTATCGAAGAAGCTACTTATTAATTCTATAACTAAAATAGTATAAATATTTCTATATAGATTTTGGAAAACCTCTATGTCCTGTAATTTGCCAAATGAGGTATAATTTATATTTTCTCTCTTTTTCTGTTGGGGTCTTTTGGTAATCACAGGATATTTTCATAAGCCATTTTGTAATTAAAAATATAAATTTTTTTATTAAGGGAAAAAGACCAGTCAATGTTAATATTTTTATCTGTTGTTTCTTGTCATACACAAAAAATTATAATTTAAAAACTACTTTATGTAAATAGAATGAAATTTAGAAAATGCAATTTAGAAAAGTTCAAAAAAATAAAAATCATCTTTAACACTAATACCCAGAGATATAACGATGGGTCAATCTTTAAATATTACATACCTGGCTTTTTCCTTTCAACATCAAAAGATTAGTTACTTTGCCAAATGGTAGACCTAATGATATGACCTCTGCTTCGGTGACATCACTTGGAATTTTGCGAAGATGGAGAACACGGGAAGGCGAACAGGGAGGTCTATCTCCTTTAAATTTCTTGTTGTCATTCCCATTAGCTAAAAAAATAAGATTTTAAAAAAATTACTGAAACTAATTTGGGTAGACATACTATATTAATCATATGTATCGTGACAATACTGATCCTCCCAAGAGTTTCAGGTTTTGAAATTTTGGGGATAATGGGATAGATGGGGTAAGAGGAGAAAAGAACCATTCATCTTTAAGCGAAGAGGTTTTTGGTTTTTTCACACAGGTATTAAAATCTTTAAAAATATAAGCATGTTTAACTTCAAGGAAATTACTGGGTAAGTTAATTACATATTTAGAAGCACCAAATACCTCTAAATAATCAATTATTTGTTGTGAATAGAGAACATTTATAATGTCCTTACAGTATTTTAAAATATATTTTTCTAATTTATTCTGTTGCTAAATAAGTACGAACAATAGCTTTTAGGGAACACTATAACAAAAATTTTATATTTATTATACCCTAAAGGGATTTGGATTTGAGCTATATGTTTATGAAAATTAAGTCTATTTCTTAGAGATTATTTATTTTTTAAAGTTATTTTTTGAGGCTAAATTGTGGTTTCTGAGAATAATCTTAGTCCTTATTATATAATAGTTTTTAACATAAGCATGATCACCTTGCTAAAAATGCAAATTTCCAGCTCTACCCTAGATCTACTACAGGCAGGACCCAGCAACCTGTGCTTTAACAAGTTCTCCAGATGATTCTGATGCAACCTTAAAGCTTGAAAACCACTGCTGTAAAATAATTACCCCAGTTCACAGACAAATTTCATTTAAATCCTACTATTTTAACACTGACAATAACTAGACTGACAAGTCTGTAACAAATACTCAAATTTATATATGTAAGATCCAGAAATGTCCCCCTCCCCTAGATATAGCACTGTATAAAACTGAATGCAAATTATCTGAAAGCCAAAGGTTTCACTACAGTTATGTGTGTTTTTTCTTAAATACTAAATACCATACTTAGCACTATTAGGAAGAAAATATTATCTTTCAAAAGGCCTAAAATGATCATTTTCCCAAATATTAATGGAACTTTACAATCAGATGTCTGTGCTCCTAAATAAATAAATTTCATGAGTACCACATAAAAATTATGGTAATACTATTTTATACCCGTATCTGTGGCATGGAACTCTACTTGCTTACAGGTGAATAGTTGACTTATTAACCAAACCAGCATTTTCTCCCAAATTCTCTACGTTCATGAATGCAGGCAGCATCCTACACAGAGCCAAAAGACTATCAATTCTTAGAAGTCCTTACAATTCTGTGTCTGTGTATAGCAAATGGTTAGCCAGACTGTGAAAAATAATTGGCAGTCAGATATTGATAATCTGGTAGGCAAGAGATTCCTTCTTTTCCCTCTTCTTTCTCATCAATCACCATGAAGTAAGTTTTCCCTCCAAAATGACTAATTATATTTTTCATCTCCACTCTCAATGTCACCAACCTCATCTACGATCTTGTCCCCTTCTACTTCTCTAGTCTCACTCCCCTTTTGCCTGGTCTCAGATCCTACATTATCAACCTAAAATAGTGTACCATGTCATTTTCTTGCTCTAAAGACTCTGTCCATTCATTTCTAGTTTTCACACTGTTTTCATTTACACTGCCCTATTTGAGTTGACATATAGAAATATACTCAGTTAAATCTTAATTTTAGCACATGAAGAGATGGAGGTTCAGAGATGATTTATTTTTGTAAATGGCTGGACAGGGGTCCTCAAACTACGGCCCGCGGGCCACATGCGGCCCGCCGAAAACATTTATCCGGCCCGCCGGGTGTTTTGCCGCCATCAACCTAAAATAGTGTACCATGTCATTTTCTTGCTCTAAAGACTCTGTCCATTCATTTCTAGTTTTCACACTGTTTTCATTTACACTGCCCTATTTGAGTTGACATATAGAAATATACTCAGTTAAATCTTAATTTTAGCACATGAAGAGATGGAGGTTCAGAGATGATTTATTTTTGTAAATGGCTGGACAGGGGTCCTCAAACTACGGCCCGCGGGCCACATGCGGCCCGCCGAAAACATTTATCCGGCCCGCCGGGTGTTTTTGCCGCCGCTGTGTGCATAGGAATTTGTTCATAGTTTTTTTTTTAAACTATAGTCCGGCCCTCCAACGGTCTGAGGGACAGTGAACTGGCCCCCTGTTTAAAAAGTTTGAGGACCCCTGGAACAGGTGAAAAATGCATTATTCAAACTAAAATTTAAATGTAACCTTGTAAAAATCTTCACCCAAGTATATATGTGTGGTTTTTTAATCAAGTTTTTTTTCCTTCGAGAGGAAGAAAGAAACATCCATCAGTTGCCTCCGACCAAGGTCAAACTCACAACCTAGTATGTGCCCTTACAGCAGTGGTTCTCAACCTGTGGGTCACGACCCCTTTGGGGGTCGAACGACCCTTTCACAGGGGTCGCCTAAGACCGTCGGAAAACACATATATAATTACATATTGTTTTTGTGATTAATCACTATGCTTTAATTATGTTCAATTTGTAACAATGGAAATACATCCTGCATATCAGATATTTACATTACGATTCATAACAGTAGCAAAATTACAGTTATGAAGTAGCAACGAAAATAATTTTATGGTTGGGGGTCACCACAACATGAGGAACTGTATTAAAGGGTCGAGGCATACAGGAAGTCGAACCTGCTACCTTTTGATGTATACTGAGCCACCCAACTAAGGCTAAATCTCAAAGCGTTTGTCTTATCATTCCTAGAAATAAGCAAGCAAATTTACATTATAAATTTTCAATGTATGTCCAAATTTATGTGGCTTATAATTTTGTCACTAGTTAAGAATACCAAACATCACACCCTGGATAGGAGTAAAAGCCAGGGTGCCTTTTTGCACCCTCCCTGTAGATCTGAATGGCTAGACTAAAATACCACCACCTTGTGTTTTCTTAACCAGAAAAAGTTGTTAAATACTGGAAAAAACATTTTAAAAGCAAGAGGTTTATATCAGTTTACCCAGACTATTCTAAAATAAATGAAAGAACATTAAGAAGGTCGTTTCTTTTACAGAGGTATACATAATCTCTGTAAAACTATGTGTGAGAAAAAAGATTAATACTACAACTATTTGGGCTTGTGCTGCACTATCAAATAAAGGCCAGTGGTAACACATTTTTATTTTAAAAAATGTGCAATTATAAATCACCACTGTAGGTTAATTGTTCTATATTATTATGAAAGTGCCATAGCTATATTATGAGCATAGGCTATGCCCAGATATCCAGTCTTGGCAAGTTACTTTCTGAAATCAAAAAAGTTACTTTATGAAATTAAAAAATCAATTTTGGGTTACTTTATGACCCAAAAATGGCTGTATCTAAATATTTGATAAGTATAATAATCTGAAAGTGGAAAATATATATTAGCAACCATATAGCCATAATTCAATAAAAGTCAACAGGAAATGAAGAAATTCTATTACACTGAATACATAACTTTGAAGAATTATCCTATATAACAAAAGGCTAATATACAAATTGTCCCCTCCACCGGGAGTTCGACCAGGGGAAGGGGCCAACTGGCCCCACCCCCAATAAGCCCCCCTAACCCCGATCAGGAGTGAGCCCGGCCCACCAACCACCTGTGGCCCCTCCCCCGGGCCGGTGTGGCCCAATAGGCCCCGATCGGGGCAGGCCAGCCAGACCCCACCTGTGCATGAATTTGTGCACCGGGCCTCTAGTTCTTTGTATAAAAGGATACATCACGGGCAGGAGGGAGGGGAGTAAGAGATCAACCGAAGGAATAAACTCAAAATGGATAAAGGACTTAAATGTACGACAGGAAACCATAAAAATTCTAGAAGAATCCAAAGGCAACAAAATCTCAGACATATGCCAAAGCAATTTCTTCACTGATACAGCTCCTAGGGCAGTTGAAACTAAAGAGAAAATGAACAAATGGGACTACATCAAAATAAAAAGCTTCTGCACAGCAAAAGAAACCATCAACAAAACAACAAGAAAACCCACTGCGTGGGAAAACATATTTGCCAATGTCATATCTGATAAGGGCCTAATCTCCAAAATTTATAGGGAACTCATACAACTTAACAAAAGGAAGATAAACAATCCAATCAAAAAATGGGCAAAGGATCTAAATAGACACCTTTCAAAAGAGGACATTCAGAAAGCCAAGAGACATATGAAAACATGCTCAAAGTCACTAATCATCCGAGAGATGCAAATCAAAACAACAATGAGGTACCATCTCACACCTGTCAGAATGGCTATCATCAACAAATCAACAAACGACAAGTGCTGGAGAGGATGTGGAGAAAAAGGAACACTTGTGCACTGCTGGTGGGAATGCAGACTGGTGCAGCCACTATGGAAGACAGTATGGAGTTTCCTCAAAAAACTGGAAATGGAACTCCCATTTGACCCTGTGATCCCACTTCTAGGAATATATCCCAAGAAACCAGAAACACCAATCAGAAAGGATATATGCACCCCTATGTTCATAGCAGCACAATTCACCATAGCTAAGATCTGGAAACAGCCTAAGTGCCCATCAGTAGATGAATGGATTAGAAAACTGTGGTACATCTACACGATGGAATACTATGCTGCTGTAAAAAAGAAGGAACTCTTACCATTTGCAACGGCATGGATGGAACTGGAGAGCATTATGCTAAGTGAAATAAGCCAGTCAATGAAGGAAAAATACCACATGATCTCACTCATTCATGGATAATAAAGACCATTACAAACTTTTGAACAATAATAGATACAGAGGCAGAGCTGCCTCAAACTGATTGTCAAACTGCAGTGGGAAGGCCAGAGAGGGTTGGGGGGCAGAAGGGAGGGGAGTAAGAGATCAACCGAAGGACTTGTATGCATGCATATAAGCATAACTAATACATAAGACACGGGGGGGGGTAAGGGAGGGCAGGGGATTGTCAAGGGCGGGGGGAAAAAAAGGACACATATGTAATACCCTTTGTAATACTTTTAGCAAAAAAAACAAACAAATAAAA